AACTTTATAATATTGATTTATATATTTTTAATATTGAATTTATTTTCACTGTCATAGAATCCAATTCAGTGATATTCTATTACCAACTTCCAGGGTGGGAATATTATATCAGGGTCGAATGCAGCGAGAGTTTGTTGTGCCCTGTCCGCCGCCGCCGATACGTTGTTCAGTCGTCTCGCCGCCACCACGACGCTGCCCACGCTCAGAGCGGCCCTGCAGAGACTCGTGGCTCACCAACACCGACTGGTACGTTTATCGGACTCACAGCGGTCGTTGTCGGCACTCGCTCCTGCTCTATCAGCCCACAGAGGTCCACTGTTGGACATAAACCTCTCCCAAGCCTCCCCACAAACATCGGTCGGTCTTCCGGTACGCGGTCGCCACTCAAGAACTTTTCAGCCCCAATGGCCATCCGTTCTACGACTAATGTGCCCTGCTCACTGTCACTTCAACGTCGCAATCCTTTGGCTATGTCGTTTACCATGGCTTTCTGCGCATCTCCTCATTTCTGATTTGATTGCTTGCTCCGAGCATAGCCCTCTCTATTGCTTACAACAGCAAATTTTGGAATTCACACAATAAACATGAAAGGTCTGTTACAGTGGCGAAAAATTGAACAACGCTCAACCCAAATGGTAGTGAAAGACAATTACAAAGGGAAGAGGAAATTATGGTTTATGGCCATAATTTATAGTTATTTAGTGGTACAAAGTGGGAAAGTGCAATCTCCATTTACCTCCCAATCTTACCAGCCGTAACTAAGCCTATAAAAGTTCTTTAGACTACAGCCGCTGAATTTTGGTAATAAATGAACTTCGACAGTGTGTTTCACAACTATTTTTTTGTTTCTTAAAGCTGTTCACGTCATGGGATCAAGACGCGTGCAACAACAACAGTCCGTGGTGGCGGGGCGGGGCGCGCGGGGGGTGCGCGGGTGCGGCGCGGGGCGAGGCGGCGCGGGCGCTGTGCCGCGGGGGGGACGTGGCGCTGCGCTGTCTGCGCGCCGCGAGACCGCTCGCGCACCGTATGGCCATATGGACTGTTATTGGACCGCACTTTATGCAGGTGTGTGTATTATGGAGGGCTTATGCAAGTGTGTGTATTATGCGGGGTTTATGCAGATGTGTGTATCACGATTCATCATCACGGACTCTACAGCCATTTGAACATTTCAAATTACGAATCATCTTCAAATTGACTAACCTTCCATTTAAATTTTAATCCAAACTCTTGATCACAGGCAGCGTGTCATAAAGATATCCAAATATCAAGTCTGGCAATACAGTGCCTTCACGATTGTGCAACAGCCCTTCTGAATCAACAAATCGAACTACCTCACTTCCACTTTAATGAAGCACTGCTGAAGCCTTTCGAGAACCTTCTCTGTTTGGAACTGTGCGACGATGATATACAGGTACCAAATTTATATTGAATTTATAGCCAATTCGATAGAATGCTCACCATCAGTTTGACAGTACGGTCGTCAATCTATAAGCGCAGCTTAAAAAAAGCATCTTATTTCCAAAGCTGGTTCATAACTTTATTTACTTCGAATCGAGATTGTATTTGTGGTAATATCTTTTTTTTATTGGTTTGTTAGGTGGACGAGCTCACAGCCCACCTGGTGTTAAGTGGTTACTGGAGCCTGTAGACATCTACGACGTAAGTGCGCCACCCACCTTGAGATATAACTTCTAAAGTCTCAGAATAGTTACAACGGCTACCCCACCCTTCAAACCGAAACGCACTATTGCTTCACGGCAGAAACAGGTGAAATAATATATTTATAACGTTTCTTTTAATTTATTTTAACGAATTTACTTATAGGAACAAATCATATCCTGCATCTGTGAATTCGTGGAAACAAACAGAATGGAGATCCGCTCCGGCTGGAGACCGCTGTTCAACACTCTCCGGGCTGCCAATAATGCGAAACAGTACTCCGCAATACTGGAGATATTTAAAGTATTTCTCGGCACCGACAACACGCTGGTCTTCGCAAACGCGGCTCTAGACTGTATACTGTGTCTATTAAGTCACATTAAAGGTCTGCATTACGAAGAGACGTCACCGGCTGAAGCGAAGCCCAAGAAGACAGCTCAAGCCCAACAAAAGCCGAACCTAAATCTGAAATTTTCGAAAAACAGCAAATTCATACCACTGAACGAAGAGAAAACGGAAAAAGTCGTAATAGACATGTGCAAAGAAGCTTTGTACCAATTGGAAAATTGCGCCGACATTTTAACCATCATGTACAATATGCCGAAGTGTCCGATATTCAATACCGGAAACCGAATAAACGGAGACCTTCCGGTGTCAGTGGTTGATCCCATCATACAGACCACATCACTTGACATCACCAATTATATCGCCAATGAAAATTGCGAGGAACCGCCCATGTCGTATATAGTGTTGTCAACCAGTTTATCTTCGACTATGACAATAAACAACACCCTACTGAAACACGATAAACCAAGCAACATTCTCAAAGTGTGGTATGTTTTGATCGAGGGCATAATTACGGCCACAGTCGTGTGCTCCAAGAAAAATCAACCAGCCACGATGGAGACTTTGTTCAAGTTGCTGAGGAATGCCATCGATGTGCCCGGAACGCATTTCGGACTTCACTGCATAAACCACGTTCTATTACCAACCATACAGAATTGGCTGCGGCAAATTGCGAATGTCAATAACCACTGGGACAGCGTGATGCCGAACTTCAAACAGTGCTGTGGATTGACTACTGACACAATTGTGATTTACCTTCATCATTTACAACAGATCAACATAGAAGGAAAGTCTAATGATACCGAGACGGATAATGAAGATGAATGCGAAAAATACGAGAATCCTGATGTGACGTTTGCTCTAAAACAAATCATGTTGATTCTAGTTGAATGCATCGCTCAGCCTCAAGAACCGATAGCGCGTCTCGGAGCGTCTTGTATCAGACATATCATTCTAACTTCAGGACACCTCTTGACCGATCATCAGTGGGAACTAGTTTGCACGAGCCTTCACAGGGCTTGTAATGTCAGTTTGACACCATTGAAGCAGCTAACATACGCTTTCAAAGAGAATTCCAATAGTTTTTACGGAGATTTAGCCATGGTCAAAGTGGCAGCAAGACGAGATTGTTCGGTGAACGATAACGTCAGGCTACACGCCATGGCTCAACAAGTATTTTGGACTGATCAAACAAAAGACGCGCATTCGAAATTGAGCCCAAAGAACAGTTCGCAGATGTTGATAGATGATAGGAGTTACATCTTCTTGATATATCTGCAAGAATCAATGAATTTACTTAATCCAGATCTATATACGATAAGAATACCTCACCGAGGTCTCGTTGTCGGTTTGTTAGCACATCAGATACTTGTGCAGATCGTTGCCACGGTGCTGATTCAAGCATCATCCGACGTGTTCCAAGGGATCAATGGTATTTTACTGGAAAGCCTTAAAACTGGACCAGATATATGCAACTACAAGTTTAGTCTAAAAAAATCAAACTCTGAGCTACTTCTCAAAAGTTTAGATATTTCCTTGATGCGTGCTATACAGTTCGATGCGAGACCGGGATTGAAGTTTCTCGTTCAAAAAGTGTCTAATCTGGATCACGCCGCCAACTTATATAAGCAAACGACATCGTCATGGCTCATTAAAGTCATTACACTGACTGAATCTTTCTTCAGTGGTATACAGAGATACAAATTAGGTGCAACCGATATATCTATATTGATCCATAACTATTCGAATACTCCAAAAATGCTCCTGCAATACGATCAGTTTGTTGTCAAAATGTTCGACTTAAAAAACACGTGGGAACTACTGTGTAACAGCTACGTGAAGCATCTGATTAATTTATCAGATTTCGACGAACCCGATGTTATTAAGCAGAGAACGCCTCTTAGTTCCGTTGGTAGTGACTCTTCGCTTAACCAATACGAAAATGCTTACCAGGAAGAATCTACGCTAGTAACAGAAAATAAGGAAAAAGCAACTCCAATAGAAGAATCAGCGAAAGATTGCAGTATTACTAACGAGATAGAAGAGAAACCAAAACCATTCATCTTCGCGGATTTCAAAACTAATAGTCAATCATCAGAAGTGATAGCTTGTGTTGAAGATACCTCACTAACCGATGAACCGGAAACAGAACCAACAACCAACGAAATAAGAGATGATGAAGACAAATATCAAGAGCGATCAAGAAGAGAAAGAACCGTTTATTACTCAGAAGTTAGCAAAGAAAGTCCAACAATCAAGACAAAAGTTAACACTTCTGAGATTTTGGACAAACATACTGATCCCCGAAAAGTTAACATAACAATAAGCGATGACCCTAACTATTCTAATAACAAACATGTCGAACCAATAATTCCACCGCAACCGGTGCCGCCTGAAATCGAACAACAAAGAACTTTAAGTATCAATAAGGTAAGATCCAATCATTATACAAATTTTAATTTCTATAAAAAGCGTGAAAATTACACAATTTCATTGGAGCGAAGTATTGAGCCATAAGCACGTTTTTATGGGTTTTTCTGATCCACTCTCGGTGAAAAAATCCTCGCGTTAAGAGAAGCGATATCCGTGCAGATTTTTCTAAAAATAGTAAAAGATATTTTTGGATTTTGCGGTCCCCCGTGTCCAAACCTTTTTGTTCATTATTTACAACGTTCCCTTTTTCCAGGACGCTGAAGTTCAACGTAACTGTTTCCAGAATGTTCTGATGGCATACCTAGAACTCGTTCTGACATTCCCATTAGAACGATTTCACGTGATCCACCCTGTATTGCAGGGAGGCTTTTTACAACTCGCCAAAACAGTTGCCGACCCCCAACTCCTCGATAGAATCAATTTATTTTTCGATAAAAAAGACTTGTCTTCTTCTAATTATAAGTGATCAATTACTATTTATATACAATATCATACGAAATATATTTTTATCGTATTTAATTTTGTGTCATGTGGAAAAAATAAAATATGATATACTTATTTCAATGTTTTAATCATCTTTCACTTAAAGCTCTTAGACAGACTCCAAAATATATTCTATAACTAAAAATCTAACAATCATTAACAAATCATAATTCTTATCGTATTTGGTATAGACTGTAAAATGTCTTTTATAAAAATCTAAATCCATTTGTACAAAAAGGTTTATTTGTCCTTCCAAAATGCAGATCTTAACAAACATGGCACCGTGAACTCACGACATATCCTCCATTACAATGTCACATATAATCTACTTCTCATTCAAATTAAAGCAAACCAAAGCTAAAATATTCGTTTAGTTTACAAAAACATCGACTATTATACAATGGCACTATATTATTTGGTGTGTATTTCAGAATATTTACAACTGTGCGTACAAATTACATATTTACAAAAAAAAAAACAACAAACACCTGACTATCTTAATACGTAAACACTAAAATATGAAGAGACTAATACGAAAACGGATAGAGTTATAGTAGACGAACCTTTAGTTGGGTGTTTGTGAACTACTAACGCGTAAGAGAGGGCACTCAGACTCAAATCAACTGCTATCAAAGGATGTTCCGAATTAATCATATCAGCCAATTTCTCAGCCTCAAGAATACACATTTTCAATTGTAAATCTGTTGGATTTTCAATTAGTGATTCTATCGTAACGAATATTTCCGTTTCGATGGTCAAATAGCCTCTCAGAGCGCATTCGGCTATAGTGATGTGTCTCTCTAGGCCTTGCACTACATTGTGGAGATTAACAACGGTCGCGGATATGTTTGTACCGTAAAGCGCTCGGTCGATTTGTTTCTTCGAATACAAGATCCGCAATGCCCCACCGCATCTCGGGCAGCAAGCGCCCGGCGCCGTGAACCCTTGGCAGTTGTCCTTCTTCAACGCTGGACAGACTATTCTATCGAAGGTACATTTCGGCTCCATTTGGTCCGATATATATCCGACTGCGAGACAAGGGCCGACGTAATCAACGCTCACGTACTCGCTCCAAGCGGCACATTCGGAACCGTACGTTACGCCATTCGCACCGCATACGGCAACGGACTAAAATTTACAAATATTTTGTTCAAATAAATTTCGAATCTAAATATACAATTCTTCTAATAATGTAGATGTTTGAGTGAAATGGTTTGGACCATCATACGATAGATCTCGTATCGTATTAACTTAATTTTTAAATGAAATTAATTTAAATTCGGATGGTATTACTCCAAATAGAAAGAAAAGAAAAGAAAAATTCTTTTAGGAGTTTGAATGACGGAAAAAAACCAAATTGCTCACCGAGGAACATCCTCGAAGACACGGTCCCAAATAGCTCATCTTCCTGCCGCTCATCACAAGATGGCAGGGGTTCGCATGTGTTCTGCCATCAGTGTCACACACCGGCATAGCGGCTTGCGAATTGCAGTCTGTTGTATTCACTGTTAAAGAAAATTGAACCTGCCATCAAATAACAATCAACAACTAATTAAATACGTATTTTTATATACAAACAACATTATTGCTTTTCTTATAGTCACTAGTATGTTGATGTTTGGTACTACCAATAATAGTTAACCTAGAAATCATTACCAAACAGTTCCTATTTCTAGCATAAAATAAACACAAATTACTATTTGTGGAATAAATGGTTCTAATATCGGTGTTATCGAGTTTCATCCAAAGTGGACATTCATTCATCCAAAGTGGACATGCCTTCACGTAAAATCTTACCACAAACGTGTTGAGGGCAGGATGTTTGGAGACGAGACAGGCATACGTTGGAGGAGGGCACGCACACGTGACGTCTCGGACACGTGACTCCGGCGCATGGAGACTGGACGCCGAACTCTATCTCAGCGTCCGTCGCTCCCACACACCTATTAGTGAAATCACAATGAATTAAAAGCGAAGTTCTCAGATTTTTCCGGAAAATCGTTTTTGTACAATCCATACGAGCGCTGAAGATGTGCAAAAGCAAAGAGAAATATTGTAATGAAACGTTATATTACATAAACCCGGCCACGGTAGGGCGCGACTTTCCCCCGGTGAAGGCATGGGACGACCTGAGGGGGTCGAAGTCGCGCGGCGCGCTACCGTCACTCTAGCGCGCCGCCAAGGAGTAACATCGTAAGAACGACCGATTGACGGTGTATTGCGTCCGGCCTGGCAGGCTGGTTGTGGCCCAGCGGCACCGCCTGGGCGACCTGACTGGCTGACGTCCAGAACCTTCGATCCGTCTCGAAGGCTCTCTGGGCCGGGCGTCCCTGGGATGAGCGCGTCTGGTTGCAGTGTTTTACCACCAATTACTCCACCCGAGTTCTGACCCCGGGGATCGAACGCTTAGTTGAGATTGCAGGAGAGTCGTTTTGTGGTTAGGGTCCTAAAATCTATTCCTTGGGCACGCGGTCCCTTCCCAAATCTGCACAGTCTCACATATAATTTGACCCTTTTTTTAGATCCTTTAATTATGGACTAGTGTATAATCTATAGTCTGACCTGGCGAGACAGGCGTTGGGGTAGAGCGCGTGGTTGGTGTGCGCGGGGAGGTGGTGCGGCGGGCAGTTGCAGGGGAGACGCGTCAGTCGCGAGCCGCGCCTCGCGCCGCACGCACGTCGTGCACACACGCGCTCGCCCCACACGCACACGCACGCGTTGCACTCCATGTAAAACTTCTCACCTGACACAATGACATGTATTAATGTATTTACCGGATGTATCACACTCGCAAACGAAGGTAATGCAAAAATTAAAATCGCGCAGCACGCAATGTAGAACAACTAAAAAGTGACTGGAGCAAAACAAACTTTTCCTGTATTGCGGGAAGCGTTTACTTCAGTTTACATTGCGGGGTCACAAAACAATTAGTGATGGTAGGACCTCTTGTGAGTACACACGGGTAGATACCACCGCCCTGCCTATTTCTGCCGTGAAGCAGTAATGTGTTTCGGTTTGAGGGATGGGGCAGCCGTTGTAACTATACTGAGACCTTAGAACTTATATCTCAAGCTGGGTGGCGCAATTACGTTGTAGATGTCTATGGGCCCCAGTAACTACTTAACACCAGGTGGGCTGTGAGCTCGTCCACCCACCTAAACAATAAAAAAAAAACATGAACTTCCAATCGTACCATATGCTCAGGGCCCACTGTCATATGCGCACTGTACGGGAAATTCATCTTTAGATCCCAACTATGAAACAATTCGATTATATTATGCGATCTAACTAATCGAACAAACTGAATACACAGACGAAGAGCTAATAAAACTTTTAGCTTCAGGCAAAATTAGGGCATCAGGGCAATCAGGGGCCATGTGAAGGCAAACGCGTTCACCCAATCCCATAATATGAAGGTCTACCTACTCTGTAACTATAACATACTGTCTAAAAGAAAAGACGTAATTCCCCCTACCGTGTAGGATAAGTTTATTGTTGACGAAGCAGTGCTGCATGCTAAAGCAGGGGAGCGGCTGACATTTCGTGAGGCCCTTCCCTTCGCACTTGCAGATCTTGAAGCACAGGCCGTGAGATAAATCCGACATGAACACCCTCACCCACGCCCCGATGGGCACCACGTAAGAATTTCCTTCTCCTGCAATCAATCAAGCGCTTTAAAGCGAATATTTGTTAAGAGAATACAAAATGTGTGTGTGAGGGCATAAACCAAGAATGGGCGCAATTTCAACCGGCTATTTTTTTTTCTGTTGTGCACCAAATTGGCGGGTAATATACCTAAAAGCTATCTCTTCCAGACACAACCGTTTTTATTGACAGCAATTCTGAAAAGCATACAGCAGATATGACGCGGTATAATACCGCTGTTGGAAACACTCAGAGTGAACTATCAACGATAGACCAAACAAAAGGGCTTCTAATCAAGATACCGAAACTGTAGGCAGCGGCTTAGCTGTGCCCCTAGAATTTCTGACGTCCGTGGGTGACGGTAACCACTCAATGTCAGGTGGGTCGTATGCTCGTCTGCCTTCAAGGACAATAAAAAAGTATGTGAAAGCCTATGTTGAGGAAACTCTATTAAATTTGTTCTTAACGGACCTTACGAATGAACCAACCGATATCTCGTCTTTTAGATTTAAAAGACAGAGTTTATTAAAAATAAGGTATTATCAACACTTTACAGAGCACATAATCTTATTGTGGAATGCATGCAGAATACTATTCCCTGAAAGAGATCCCCAAGTGGTGGAGCGTGTAGCAAGTTCTAGCACGTGGATCCACACTTGGCTCTACTTGATATTTGAGTGGTGGCATTTATGACTGCGGATTGAATTTACCGAGCGGGCACCCGTCGAGGCAGTGGTAGCTGCGGCAGGCAGCGGCAGTAGAGGCGACGGCGAGCGCACAGTTCCGGTCAGCGCGGCACAACTGTGCGCGGCCGCACGGGGCGCCGGCGCACGGGCGAGACGCGGGCGCCGCCAACCTGCCTGCGCACAAAACCGCCACATGATCATCAACCGAAACCAAACTTGGTTATATGTTAATAAATAACTATGGTATATGTTAATACTAGTCAATACTACTAATACTAGATACTACAATACTAGTTAATACTAGCTAATAATAATTCTAAGGGAACTAAACATCCGAAAAAGGCTCTCTTCCATCTACTGGGAACGTGCTATGAGCTTCTTTGGGAACATCATGCGGTTTCTCAGATATGAATTAGAGAAGCTCATAATTGCGGGTCGCATAGAGGGCAAGCGCGCCGTGAGCAGAACACCAGCCAGATGGTCAGATTTAGTAAGAGGAGCACTTGGTGGTACCATGCGGTCCATGCCACCCATGATCGAACACAGTGGAAGAACGTCACATGTGGTCGCGATCCTCAGGAACGATATAGAAGAATATTACTAACAAATACGCAAATAACAATACATAGATTTTAAATTTTTCTTAAACAATCATTCCTTTACCATGAAAACCTGTAAGGAGCGTTTTTACTCACTAAAATACATAAACTTGCTGCAGGGTCTGACAGGGCTTCTTAACCTCAAAATTTCTTTCTTTGACGCTGTTCACTAATAAACAACGATCACTCACTCGTACTGGGCTTCATGTACTGTTGCAAGGACACACAGTTGGTCGTGTTGGACTGCGGCACAATCCGGGCGCACAGCGTATTAGCTGTGTACGGCAACTTGAACTGTGCCCAATCCACACACGACGATAACATCTGCACGCAATCTTCTTCGCACAAAAGACTACTTAAACCCTTGAAATAGGAAAATACAAAAAAAAATTAACAAGGATCTTGTTGCTGTTTTTTTTGAAAAGTGTCTATAGTTCGATAGTATAGACAGGTCAAGTTACGGTGACCACTTCGGGGCCCTTCACGAGATCACGTAGTCTATTTTTTTCCATTCCTATTGGTCGGTAGCCTAAGGGGTTATTCCAGCTACGCCTGGACGGATAGGTGAGCTTGCTTTTACCTTTCCTTATTCCTTCCTAAATGAATCCCAAATGCAGACTGGTCCCCAACATCTAATTGCTATCTAATTTTATCCATATTGGGACTCTAACGTCACGATTCGAAGCTAAGGCTCCACCATTCGATTTTGTCTATGGACTCTTAATAACCCTTAACACAGAAAAGCTCGTCTGGCCATATGACACAAACAAAGTACCCAACAGATTCACAGATCTTTATCACTTTTTAAATTCATTTACCAAACGCAAACAAACAGGTCTCGATAAATTGGACAATTACATACCTTGGTGGTGCAAGGCTTCACGTGTAAAACGCACGCAACGCTTTTCCACAGATCTGTCGAGCACTCGCTTGAGTTTTTCACTGGTAAATGCATACCGGCCACTTGCAGCGTTCTAAAACAAATTAAATACCAACAATACACGACTAGTGCAATCCATTCGAACCTCATTAATACTAATCCGTTGCAAATGCAATTTATCTTTCCCTTCCCAATTATAAACGTAATGAACGCGTAAAACACTCGCCAAACAACGAATGTTCGCCATGCGTCAGCTGTTTTAATTGTATTACATTGCGTTTTCAAAACTCATTATTAAGTCAGGTTGTGTTGATATAGTCTGACATTACGAGGACTTGTCAACAAACACTCAAAGAACCGAATTAGGATATTAATATTGTGAACCTTCCCAATCATAAATGTAACAAGCTTGTAAAACAAACGCCAATCAACGGACGTTCGCCATGCATCAGCTGTTATAATTACATTACATTGCGTTTTAAAAATACACTATTAAGTCAGATTGACACTTTGACTGACATTTCGAAGACTTGTCAACAAACACGACAAGAACCGAATTTGGATATAAATATTGTGAACATTTTACCTGCGGCCTTCTTGTTCGGCCATCGACAAGTGTGCGTCCAAGTCGGCGCGCACGTTACAAGACCTGAACATGGTCGTGTGACGGTCGTTCAGTTGACTGCAGTACGTGAGACTGGAGCATCCCAGCGAGCATGGAGTACGCACTGGAAGATGATACAATAGTTAATTATTGAAGTGAAACTTCTTTAGAATCGTTGTGATGTGATTTCTAACTCGATGAAACGAAAAAAACGAAACGTGAACCTACCTCTCCGCACGAAGTTGAATAGCCCCTTGGGCTACCAACGATTAGATAGGAAAAGAAAAAAGAAAGGGTTTCCTCTAGCTACTGATTGTACTAGGATGTCATCCGCCTGCAATAGTACGATATCTCATTTTCCTACCTAACGATCCCTCTCGACTAAAATAGAATTGCATAAAGAAGGTGATTCTAATTTGAGTACATTACTCCAAAGCAATTTAAACATCGTGTTTTAGGTACATATTGTTGTGTCCATAGATCGGATGAATTCAGAAACCGTTCCGTGAGTTTCCAAAGTACATGTATCGAGCCGGTTATAATTCATAAGAAAATATTGGTAGGTGTTAATTGAAGTGATTATTGGTAAAGAACGCAAAGCACTTAAATATTTATGAATTAAACTATAAACGTAAACATACCATCCTCGAGGCATTGCGACAACATTGTCTCCTGTGAATTGTCTAAACACTGTAAGTCAAACATATCCCATTTTTCCTGCGACCCCTTATTGAATGTGTGGAAACACAGTTCCTTGCACGTTGCTGATTTCGCCTGAAATTTTTATTTATCGAGAATGAATTCACAAGTTAAAGTATGAGATTAGATAATTTGCGATTGGTACACAAGCGGCCTTAAATATGTATATATGTGGTAAAAATATTGTAATATTAAAACAATGAGCAGCCTCAATATCACTTTTTTGTGTTATGTTTTAAAACTGTAAACTGTTTTACATAATTATCGATGATTCATTTCTCTTGTCAGATTTAAATATCGAATGATAGTAAAACGATAGAATGATAGTTGATTTGAATCTAGTCAGCTAACTTATAATCCATATACATGGTGCAATGAGACCGTTTCTAAAGTCGAAACATGAAATAAATATTAACCTAAAATAAATGAACCCAACCAACAACTGAATCAATCAAGAACAATACTTGTCGTTCTTAAGTATACATTTAGCAAATTGGAAAAACACCGAACGCAGCCACCAGCAGGCCTAGATAGAGCGCGGGCTCTATCTTAAGTCATGAAAACATTAATGTTGCTACCGACCTTAACACTGTAGTCTTTGTGGATTTTGAAATAACGGACTCCTATCCTCAGACAAAACAGAAAATTTGTTGGCTACTATTACAACTGGATACATTTTTATTGATATTCGTGTAAATAAATACCTTTAAACAACAATGCAAATTCGCAACGTCCCTCGGAATCAGATCCTTGGTGTCAGTCGGTGCATCTTTCCTCAAAAAGCATTGCCACAGTACATTATGTATGGCGGGAGCTCCACAGTCTTGGCCCAATGCCTCTACGATCTCTTCTATGTCACTGGTCCGACGCAACACAGACTCACAAGTACTTCGACAGCTTTGAGAATCGGATTCATGGCAGCATGGAAGATCTATATAGGTAATTCAGTACAATCAACTCTAATGTTTCTTTTTTTTAATGCTTAGATGGGTGGACGAGCTCTCGTTACCGGAGCCCATAGACATCTACAACGTAAATGCCGCCACACATATTGAGATATGAGTTCTAAAGTCTCCGTTTCTAAAGTACAACGGCTGCCCCAACTTTCAAATCGAAACGCATTACTGCTTCACGGCTGAACTAGGCAGGGTGGTGGTATCTACCCGTACGGACTCACAAGACGTCTTGCCACCAGTAATAGTATGGAATCGAAATCGATTACATGAAATCATTAGTGTAGATTTATCAAGAAAAACAATCCATTATCTATCATAACACAAGTACAATAAAACAACATACTTTTCAGATGAAAACTTACAGGGCTACTCACATTTAGACGTGTCTCCAACTACCGTAGAAGACGTCAAGTCTCTGAGGCAGTGCAGTAGCTCTGGTGATTGTTCACAAGCATCAACCGCTGCTTCCTTCGCGTCGCCGTCGATGCGCGAGTGTCCAAGCCTCCTCAACACTTTCTGGCACGCTTCGTGACACGACACAGACTGCGTCTGTGCTGATAGAAGAACGACAACCTCATAAGTTTAGAATAGCTTTATCATGAGAAGTATGTTCAGGACATTGCGAGTTAGAACATTGGCTAGTGCCGCGTTTGAATTACTCTCATGACCGTACTTTGCTCATGTCTCCGCACTCTTCGTATACGCTCGATTTAGGGTCAAAGGCTTTTCATTGTGATGTGAATTGAAGAAATAATAGGGATTTTTTAAAACGACAATTATTTATGCTCATAGTTGCAAATGATATAAATCATAGCACTTAGATGGTTAGCTAACACTTGGATGGTCTAGTCTAGTCTATTGGCGTTTCAGCATCGAGAACGTTCCGCTTTCGGTGACCTCAAGCACCAGTCATCGTTCTCGTCGAACCCGTCGCTTGTGACGAAGGGCTCGACGAGTAAACTAACCCAAAGACACAACCCACTGCGTTTCTCGCCGGATCTTCTCAGTGGGTCGCGTTTCCAATCCGGTGGTAGATTCTGCAAAGCACGGCTCTTGCTAGGGTTCGTGTTAGCATCGTCGTCAGGTTTGAGCCCCGTGAGCTCACCTACTAGTTAAGGTTGCGCTAAAATAGCCTTTCAAGGCTATCTATCAGCTTAGGTAGGAAAAAAATCTCGGTGTATGTCGTAAATAATTGTTTTTCGTACTCACAACAGCACCACTGAGCCTCCTGTTGTTTATCCATGCAGTCGAACATTGCTATTTCGTCAGATCGACGACAGGATTCGGTGAGGGCTTTCGCGTCCAAAGCACTAGCGCACGCAGCCCGACATTCCGATGATCGGCTCAATTGACAGCACACTTGACCCCACCACCCTGTTCCCGACACCACCTCTGCGAGACGAAAAGTGACTTTGAATAATTTATATTAGTAGCTTTATTTGTTTGGCATCGACGTAGACTAACTTCACCCCATCTTTTCGGGTGGGTGTCGTAAAAAATGACTAACTGGTGAATGGGTATTTTACGAGTATTTTACCAACGTACTGAAATCTCCAAACGTCTTTTGGTACGGCGTAGGTAATGTAAATGCGCTCAGATACCACCAACCTTTCTATGTTAGCCACGAAGCAGTCGAGTGGTTTAACAGCTTTTAAACAAGACGTTTGAGACTGGAACCTCATGATTCAAATTAGGTGACAGTGTTCACTTTGTGTTGTGTATGGGCTCTGGTTACCACAGTACTCTACAATCAGATAAAAAGTCAAACGTTTGGTGATTACATCTTAATTTAAGTAATTTAATTCGTTGGAACGATCTATAAAAAAATATCTATACGTCGCTGTTAATCAGAAATATTAACTCACCTTGTATTGTTTGATTCATGCAAATCCAGAACTCTGTCTGAAAATTGAATAGAAATAATAAGTAAAAGATTTTTTTTTGCTTAGCAATCTGATACCTCAATTTCCTCGTCTTCTTGACAATACAAGAAATTTTAAACCTATACCAATTACAATACAATGGGATAGGCGGTTTATTGACGTTCAATGGAAGTTCATTTCGGCTAAAGAACTCGAAGGGTACCCAACTTAAAGATATCAAATAACATAGCCCTTACAAGTTTGAAGAACATTTAATATGATTTAACGTCAACCACTTTTTTACTAGCGATAACATCGCGTTGTTAGATATAAACGATAAGGTTACGAAGTTTCTAGAACGACTTCATATTTCCTTAATTAAATACTTCTATCTTGAGTGACAATCGGGATTTTTTCGATATTCATCGAGAAACTAGCTACGCTCTTTTCATTATTAATAGCGGTATAGTTTACGGATAACTAAAAAGAGCTTGGAATCTGTACTTTTTAATTATAATTTATGTTAATTATCACATTGAAGAGTCACGAAAAGCTAGAGTGCAATCAAATGAATTCTCTTATGAATTTTGTAGTAAGCATAGTAACTAAATTCTAAAAATTAAAGAACAAAACACAAAAAGTACGTAGTACGTAATATTTTGATTATATATATAATAAAAGACGTAATATCTCGATGAAAAGATGGAAGGATGAGTAGTGATATTGTTACTAATACTCACCAAGTGATGACCGCAAAATTTGTAAATATTCGGCGTGCTTTGCTCTATAACAGATCTGTCTGTCGTCATATTGAGCTGGGACATCTGGAACGATATGGGAAATTATTGTAATGGTGACAAACGTGGCGTTAATTTTAGAGCGGTGTTAGGGTTCATTAAGACGAAACCAATGCCGGTTTTTTGAATGATGTAAACCCATTAAGAAACCGTTCCGGATAACGCAAATTATAATAACGAAGATTTGTGGCAAATAATTCATGCTTCCATGCTAACATTATGAATGTAAAAGTATTTTATGTGTTTGCTTATCCTTCTTTCACGCGGAAACGACGCAACGGGTTGACGCATTATTAATATTATATATTATAGTTTTAAATCGAGTAAGTAAAGTAAAAGACCCGCCGGCCGGCCATCGAACCGTCAGACCAGATAATTGCGCTCACTGGACTCTCTGTTTCGACCGCCCTGAGTGAAGCCGAAAACTGTAGGAAATGGAAGCTGATGGTACAAAGAGACACGAAGGGCTTTCAGGGACACGACCTTCAGCAATGAAATTTGCGACTAAGAAGAAGAAGAAGTGACAGGGTCTGCGTTTTATCCCGAAAAAACATCTTATTGCCACAGAAAATAGACTGATAGTTTTCCTTGAGCACGCGGGCACAGCCACAGTTAACAGCTGGTATCGAATAAATTTCAATTGCAGTACTGCATTTTACTATTACATAACTATTATATACTAGTATTTTTTTCTTGGCGATGGATTGGATGTATATGAAGTATGTGAGCTTAGAATCAAAGTCCTTGACGAGGGCGATAGCCGCCACCTGGAGTGTGAGGTTAGGTTTTTTTCCTAAAACAACATTATATGCCGACATATAGATCCTAAATACAATTTGGTCAAATAAATAAATACTAGAGGTCCCGCAGTAGTCGAAATTCGACTATAATTAATTGGAATTGTAAGTTTGTACACTATTATGATTGTATTTTATACTTCTATAATAAACAATTTCCCCAAGACTACACTATAAAAAAAATTTAATAAAGACAAACAATATTTAATCTCAATTTGACAACAGACGTCAGAACAAAACTTTAACAATAAATAGTATGCAAGCGTGTGTACGTCAAATACATGGTATGTAGTGTGTGTAATGTTTTCTTTATTGATTTAATGTATCTTTAACGCATTATTTTAAAAAAAATATTAGCATTGTGCACTTCTTCTCTATATTCTCTGTAAGTGTGGAAAATTTCATTCTCCTCCGTCCGCGCAATTTTCGTAAAAAGGGATACAAAGTTTTTGCTTCACGTATTAATATATAGATAATGCATATTAAAATATTCATCTGTACAAACCACAAACACGGAACGATGGTAACGTATATACGGAACCGCAACGATGTGATAAACTTAAGCAAAGATGGGCGCGGTGCGAGTCAAACGTGCGCTTCGAATGTCGTTAATATAACGATCACTAGTTCGGATGGGTAAATATTAACGTATTCTAAAGTGGAAGCCACGAAATTATAATTAGAACGACTAGTTGAAAACAGAGCGATCTGCAGTTTTTTTTCTCCCTATTCTGATAACCTTGAGAGGCTATTTCAGCGTAACCTTAACTAGTAGGTGAACTGACGGGGCTCAAACCTGACGACGTTGCTAACACGAACCCTATCGAGAGCCGTGCTTCGCAGAATCTACAAGTGCGCGACCCACTGAAAAGATCCGGCGATACACTCAGAGGGCTGATCTGCCGCTGATAACTTATAAAAGCCAAGCGTTGCTGCAATCTATCTGCTACTGTTTATAAACAATGCTTTGCTTAAACGTGTTTGATCTAACTGAACATCTGGTACTAATCGTGCAATTTCTATAAATTTTAGAACAATCCCAAAATCAGATTAATCGCCTTATAGGACGAATTGTCTTAAAGGATCAGACGTTCGGTGTACTCGTATCAAGGGATGCTGTGTCGGTGTTTGAATCACGCAGGCAGATACAATTTTTTCTAATGAGATACTTACTTAACTCATAATCACGAATGACTTCCACCCTGAAGGAATAACATCGACTAAGTCCCACGCTTTTATTAGCTCACCATTGCAGCAATACCAAACCACATCCGTGCCGTAAAAATGTACATACCGCAAAATAAACATACTATAACATAAACATAATGAATTTATTATAATTCTCATTGATCTAAGCAGTGTAGCCATGCGCAATTTATCCAAATTATTTAAAGACACTGCTGTGAAATAAAATTCGACCAATTTCGTACACATCAAAAACTCTGGACCGTACAGAAAATTTTCACTCAAGCCCTTCGTTGCTTGAAAAAATAAATATAGGGAATTTTTACTAGCATGAAGATGTGAGTAACCCAAACACACAATGTTAAGTCTGGCCGGAGCCCACAGACTTTACTAAGTGAGCTGAGACCTGAGATAGAAGTCTCAATTGTATTGTATAACGGCTGTCCCAGTTGCCCCCACCCATGATACAAGAACGCATTACTTCTTCGCGACTGAAATGGACAGAATTACGTACCCCCGCAAGATTACAATGCACCCTATATAAGTATAAAATTGAATTGAGTTGGCAAACTCAAGGACTCCACCGAGAAGGGAAACTTACTGATTACTGCTCGAGTGCCTTCGAAGGAGGCCTGAGATCCACGGGATTGGAACCACGACCTGTCACGTCACTCCTCAAAGAGTACGGAGACCTGTGCTTTGTCTAGACCGTGCACCGAGCAAGAACCTGAATTTTTTTTCTACCTATGCTGATAGCCTTGAGATGCTATTTCAGCTTCTTCTTGACGTGTAGGTGAACTCACGGGACTCTAGCCGAGAGTTGCTAACACTGGCCCTAGCAAGTTCAGTGCTTCGCAGAATCTACCACCGGATCGGAAACGCGACCACTAAGAAGATCCGGCGAGAAACTCATGGGCTATGTCTATGGGTTAATTCAATCGTCGAGCCCTTCGTCGCAAGCGACTGGTTCGACTAGGACGGTGACCGGTGCTTATGGTACCTAAAAGCACCATTAATGGATCGGGCGGATCCGTAATGACGTGTTTAAGGCGACGTCGACTGTTTACCATTCAGTCCACAGGATCGTGAACCTGACGCGACCGCGGGCTTACTTTATATCAGGCTAGAAGGTCATAGCACCACTCTGAGACACTGAACCTTTCTGGTATTGGCTGGCTGAAAAGACTAATCGGGGGTAATGCACCGTACATTGTCAAAACTAACTCAATTCAAAAATAACACATGTTGCAAACGATTAATGATGAACATTAGCGTCGCTTGATTATATTTAATTGATGCTCGGAAATACTGAACGCGTATTGGAACAGAGTAACGATCATATGTCCTTTTAAAATATCCAATTACTGATTCGGAGCGCTTTGTTAAGCCTAATTAAGAAGTAAAAATAAAACGAGGAAGTGGTGGCTGTTTTTTTGAAAAGCAAAACATCTAAACTAAATGATATTTTTGAATTCGAATTCCTTTGCAATATTTTATCATGCAACTAAAATTGTCTTGTACATCAGCATCGAACTTTCTGAAAATCTGTAATTTAGATTAATTAATAAATCATTCTTAGTAATAATTGTGATAGACCTTCGAAGAGTGGCCCGCAAGAAATGGGTAGAGAGAACCGAAGACTGAGTCCCAGTGGTGTGTCTTGGGAGAGGAATATGTCCAACAGTCGACCATTGTCGGCTGATGATGATGATAGATTTGGAATAAGGCCATATGCGAGTATGCAATAGTATAGTATGCGAGTATTTATGGGATAAGATTATTTAAACTATTGACCACTGAATTCGTTAGAAGTTGAAATACCAAGAAAAATAGATCGGCTAAGAGTTATTCTTCAATAGAACCGATCATGTTTCGACTTTGAGAACTACACATTGTTAGTTACGATTTTCGGCTGTGGACCCTTGCATCATGATGTCTATACGGTTAGATAGCCAGCTTGTTGATCAACACACGCCACATATCAATTTTCCCAATCAGGTGGTAAAACAATAATGAACAAAAAAATAATGCTCTACGTGCGAAAGTGAGTATCTGTACTCCGAAGTGAAGGGGTTATCATAGTTCAAACTCTGAGGTAACATTCAATGAGATTGATAACATAAATAGAGTTCTTGGAAGTGCTCAATGTGCAAGCGCGGCTGTGGTGATAAGAATATTACTACCCACATTAATTAAAAAACAACATTTATTGGACATCGCTAACACATTTTACAATGACATTAGTTTTCTTCTTAAAATAAATATTGGTTATTTTAGCGAATAGACAAATAAAAATTAGGGATACTACAATGAATGTACATATTTGAATGTAATCAATTCATATTTTCCCTCATAGAATTAATTGAAACTCGAAACCGCTGCAACAACTTATGGACATACGATACAACAAGAACCACTTTTTTTTTTTTTTCCACAGGAGAAAATCGCCGGATCCCCACCCGCGCGGCAGGTGGGGTATGTGGGAGTTGAACCTCACTAAAAACTCCTGCCGCTCACAACCGGCGCCCTACCTCGGACCGGGCCGGAGCCCAGTCGGGGCTATTGAAACGGCGGGACAGGGTTGACGCAGAGCACATTACATCCATCCCACCGTCCCACGGACGCCGGACCGGTGGCCGCCAGCGACACGACCACCGGTTCCCTCGTTCAGCGGGCCGAGAGCCCGCTTTGATGGCGCCGCGTTACAAACAAGAACCACTTAGCTTACCCTCAACAAATAAAAACATAAATTCTACAATTACTTAATTTCAATGATAAAAATATCTACAATAATTTCATGTTTCAGGACAATTAATACATTTTGATTACTGTTTCTTTTTCGTTAATTAAATTATTGGTACAAAAGGAATCGAATCAGTTCAATAGTTTTACATGTAAATAATACAACTATAACATAATACAATATATACACATATGTATCATTAAAATATGTATGGAAATCACGCTTCAAGGTGTCAGAACAATGATCATTGTATACAAATCGCTCTCGACTTATCCGACATAATTCAGAGATACAATTATTTG